CTTAGGGGTCAGGTAAAATGTTACTTTTTTCTTTAGATATTCCTGCAATAAATTGATAATTCAGATCTTCTGACAAAGGGCTTTGCTGAAGGTTTCTATTATTAATATATTTAATTATTAATACCTTATTATCATTACTTGTAAATAGCTCTTTGAACAGCCCTCCATATTGAGAAATCGAGTTTCCTTCTAACTGGATTGAAGAGCTAATGGCTAGTCTGAGCTCAGCCAAGCCCAAACTGAAAYGACGCTGTTGTAAATAACTTTAATCTCAAACATTTTATAGTGGTTTATGCAAAAACAGTTTTATAGACTTTTACAATGGTATCAGTTTTACATTATATAGTATTTCTGGCAAAAATATTGCAAAGTTTTTGTTGGTGGTGCCCCCAGTTAGCATTTGAAAGTGCTATAGCCTGCTGATGCTGCAGCTAATTTTCATGGCAAATAATCAGTTATTGATAAATAACTATGCAATGTGAAACTGCCATCAATGTAAATGTTTATAACAATGTTTTCAATATTTTTTTGAATTTTTTTTTTTGGATTATGATGGATGCAATTAGCCATTAGCCTGCAAATTTTGTCAGAATTCAAAATTCCCATATTAAGGTTGTTCACAAAGCTTTAAGCRTTGTCCAGTAAGATCCTATTTCCAGTATCTCACAAGKACACCCCTCACTTTTGTTGCCAGAGTTTTACACAATGTGTGTTGTTATTTTGAGGGGACAGCAAATATACACTGTTATACAAGCTGTCCACGGTCTACTTTACATTGTTTCAAAATGTTGTATCTGCAGTGTTCTCCCATGAAAAGATACATTAAAGTTTTAAGAAAAATGTTAGGGGTGTAGGCCTACTCACTTTGGCGAGACACTGTGTTTGTAACCTCCAGTTCAAAACGTAGAACTTTCAAAGTCCACTTTAAAAGAYCTGAACTTTCCCTTTAAGGCCACTTTGAATTGTCAACAACTGCTGAACTAAATCTCAGTTTGGCCAAGATTTTATCTGCCTTCTTTGTGCAGTTTGTGCTGGCATAATCAAAAGATAACATAAACAAAAAAAGTCTAGCCAAGGGCACCTAAACTAGTTTGAATATCTTTATATATTTATCATTTTAGACAGACACAGTTGAAGTCTTCCGTCCTATAAATCCTCGTCTAGTGTAGTGATAAAGTAATGCCCATAGGTTGTGGGCAGTCGCACCTCCTTCTGATGTCATTAYACTATTAACTGAAGAAATCTCTTTACAGCAGATCAGAATGGCAGAGATTGAGCAGGCGTCGCTGAAGTCGGAGCAACTCTCAGACAAATCCTCGTCTCCTGCTTTGCCCGACGACCTCAGCCTGGACGAACATACAATCTATCAGCTGTTGTCCCAGGAAGGAAAGGTGTGTTTGAAGAGTCTTTCAAAGGTGGAGGAATAACAAAATGTTTGTTTCGATATGCTGTAAGCTTTTATGGACATTACAGATATAAACTTTCATGCTCCTAAGGCTTCTTTCTCCATATCATGGTAWTTATTTTGCCTTTGAAGAACCCAGTCTCTTTCTATCCCAGACCACTTCAGGAATAAATCTTTACAGCCTGCTCTCCTCAGTCACTGTCTTGGTTGGCTATCGAGCCCTTCTTTCTTTAACTCTCTCCCTTTAGTACGTATCTACTTCACCTTTCTTTTTGTTAGCCCTCAGACAATTATACACCTGATCTGCGCTTTTCTTTAACCTCACTATCTCCATCCCCCTATAATCCGTCTTTCTAACAGCTTCTTGATTCTATATTGCTGGAGTAATCTGAAAAATCACCAAGCTGTAAATCTTTTTTTTTTTTTTTTTGCAAGAGAATAGCCAGGGCGAAGGAAAAGAACGGATATGAGATGAGAAAAAAGTTTATAGGTTTATTAATCAAACAAAGTTTAGTTTCAAAAACATGCAGGTGTTTCCAGAGTCACGCTGGGTTGATTAATTTTTCCTTCTGGAAGGCAAAAAGCAAGACTCGGCAATCATTACATTTTAGTTTAAAATGGGGGTTTAGGTGAAGCCTCCTGTAAATTAAAGAAAATCAGTCAATTCTCCTCTAAGGTAACAAACTGCCTGACTGCAGGCAGGAACAGCTGATGTTGCAAAGGGGAAAGTGGCCTCCTGTGTGGCCAGGATACTAATGAATGAACTAAAGTATACATTYACTGTACAGCCAGGCATTACATCACATAGTTCTTATACCCACTTCAAACTCTCTAACATTTACATRACAATTCCTGCTAATATTCATTTTTTTGTTTTTTTTTCAGTATTGCAAAAATGAAAAGCCAGCAAAATGATATAAATCAGGTCAATTTTTCAAAATTTACACAGCACTTGAAGGGCTTCTCTGTCCTATTTTTCGATTATATTTACTCTCATGCAAKAATTGTCACTCCACATATAATTTGAGTATTTTCTGAAAAGATATTTGCATTAATGTAAAAATCTAAGCTCGTTTTTGCAAAGCTTTTCATTGTTAGATTTTTTTGTTTGTTTGTTTGTTTGTTTTCTTTCAGGGAAGATGCAGTAGTGGCTCCCAAAGCTCTGAAGATGCCGGTGAAGAAGGATGYCATAACGGAGCTCACCAGACTCAGAAAGCAGGGCAGGTCCAGGTGCAGGGGCAGAGCCTGCAAAGCAAAGCCCCAAGCACTGGTACTGAGACGGAGACTGTGCTGCAAGAGGTGGAAATGCAAACATACCAACAACATAAGTGCTCACCTCAGTGCAGGCCTGGTTCGTAAATCCACACAAGGCTCATTTTCAAAAGACTGAATAGTGGATGTATGTTAGCACAGAAATGACCAAAAACTGATTTGAGGTAATAATACCTCAATGTGTTTTGCTTTCTACTCTGTAAGTGCTAGTTGTGAAAATCAGTAAGTGGCAAGCACTCACTACAAAAAAAAAAGGCCTATTTAAATGGCTGTCTTGACAAAGTGCAGCATGATTTTGTTCATAAACTACAAGTTTAAATAGAAATATCACAAAAAACACACAAACAAATTTTCCCAAATGGTATACAGTTTATCTTTTAAAACATAGCATCAGATGCAGTGGTCACAAGTGGAACTGCAATACGCACTTGAATTTATTTCAAATGGGGGGGAGGATACATTGATCTCGGACACAAGATAGAAAAAAAAAGGTTGTAGGTTGAAAATCTAAGGTAAAATAGAATCCAAAGTCAAAGGTTATAAAATAATGGGCAAAAAACCAGAGGATTTTAAACCATGCATAGATGTAGAAAATGATCTGTTTCAGAATTTTAAAGAAGAGAAGAAAGAGTAAAGTTTAAGGGGAAAATAAAACATAAAAGAAAACTGAACATTCAAAGTCAAATACCACTACTGTACTTCAAATAGTAGCTGAGTACTGCCTTTGGCCGGAAAAAACAGACCCTACCTGTGCTTTAAAGTACAGACTGCAGTAGCAATTCACTCACATTTGGCTGCAGGTCTTAAGTTCTCATGCTCTCTGAACAGTTATTAACTTACTGTTGTTGCACATACGTATAGACAAATTCACCTGACCACTACAGGTGATAAGCCAGTCAGAGAATGAAGAGTATATGAATAAACCCCAGAGCAACTAAGCATATTGGTTCTCTCCAGACGGTGCGGTTTCCAGCATCAATAAGGAAAGATGTAAAGAAGAAGAAGAAGGAGGAGGAGGAGCCAGTGGTATTTCAAACCTCTTCCATCTGCCTACAGAGTTCTTCCACTCTTCAGGTGCAGCCATCTCGATTCCTTCCCGCAGTAGGAGCCTACGCTTGACCAGGAGCCTTAGACTGACCTCCCCATCCTCCTGGGCCTCATTCCGCTCCCATGGAGCTCATAGAAAGATGCTCTGTGCACAGGTAATATAGGGAGAACATAAACCAAAAGTGGAGTGGAATTACGGTTCATATTTATTAAATTAAAATAAGAATAATGAGAAATTTCCTCGGGATAGGATTGTTTATGAATTATTTGTAATGAAGCTGCTGCGCCTTTTATGAAAGCAGAGAATTGAGATTATGCGCTAACGTTAATTTTTCACAACTTCTTCTCTGCAGTATCCATCTCACAGTGACTCATCACTTGCTACTGGAAGCTCTGAAGGCAGCCTTCAGACCACCCTGGAAGAAGGACTGAGCTTCAGTGTCTCTCCACCGCAAAACTTGGATTTGCCAACAGCTTCCTTATCASTCCTTTCGCCTCTCTCACAGCCTGAAGATGGAATGACCATTTCTTCTTCAGTTCAGGCCCGAAAGCCAAGGCCAACCCCCCAGTCCACTGTGACCCTTCTGGCCACCAGGGGTCACCAGCGGAGCCAGAGCAGCGGACGAGGCAGCACTAGCCCAGGCTACAACCGTGAAGACTCAATTGACCCCTCAGATGAGGACTTGGGCATAGGCATCGGGTCGTCTATCGGTGGTTGTGGCTCCAGTCAAGCGGGAAACAGTGAACACTTGTCAGAGACAATGAGCAGCTTGTCCTTGACATCACTGCTGTTGCCCAACTCTCTCGTGTGCCTTGGAGTGCCAGTAAAAAAGTGCAACAGCACAGGTAGCCTTGACAAAGGGGGGATGCTGCTGTCTTCCCGGGGCAGGGAGGTCCATAGAGAGATTTTGGGCCTGGAGCTTATGGACCCCCAGGGCTTCTTGGCCAACCCTTGGACAGGAGTATTAGTAGATACCAGGAGAGGAGGAGGAAGAGGGGAAATTGAGGATGGAGCGCATGGTTTGAAAGGAAAGAGCTCAAGCCAAACAACAGTAGGGTCTTGTCGAAAAAATAGATGAAACCAACTGTTTTCTCTTTATGCGTCTTTCCATTTCTTGGAACTAAAACCCATTGCTTTTCCTTTTACTCTCGCTGCTTCATCAGTGAGACAGAGGATTAGTGACACGTGATGCCCTGTATTTCAAAACCAAACCCTCATCTTGCCATTTAAGCCCCTTTATATACATTTCTGACAAGTCCTGTTTTTGCTTCATAAGGTAATGGACTTGGATGTGGTTAATGATGAGGAGCTGGCCCTAATAGTTAAGGCCGAGGGGCAGAAGAAAGACCCTTCTACTCTGTAGATCTGGAGGACCCTAAAATGGTTATGTTTGCACGGAAAACCAGGAGGCTTTGTGATACCAGGAAGTCAGAAGCAGATACAAAGAATCTTAAAGAAGCATCAGGGGAGTTTAATGTTCTCTGAACAGGTTCCATGAGGTTGAAAATGCAAAACAGGAAATGTGCAAAGTTGACATGATTATCTATGCTAGGAGAAGCTTTTTTTTAAATTGTCAGTCTTTCAAAGACAGGGCATGAGGTTAGATTACCTGGAGTACGTCAGGGCGGAAAAAAGACTGGAAAACAAAAATGTTTTTCTTTTGGAAAAGCAGAAAGCGGATCTAATGTCCATCTGTTCTGGCAGACAGAAGCAACAGGTCCCACTCGCTCTTGCAAAAGACCTTCTGCTGAGACTGGAGTACAAGCGTGAGGTGGAGGAGAGTTCAGGAATGTATGTGCACAGTCTGCGTTTGTGTGTACGAGCACTGCCTCAGGTATCCAAGGCACGAATTAAATCATTCTCATCACTGCACCATACCTCAGTGTTTCTGAAACCGAAGATTGGCATCAAGTATTGTGTGTCTGTCAACTTCATTGGCAGYGGAAAATGAAAATAAATTGAGAGACGATGGAGGTAGAACTGTGCATGGAGTGATTCATGAAATTGGTTATTTTTCTTTCTATCCCTAGCATCTCTCACTCATGAACTTGGAGAAATGGGCGTGAAAGGCAGGTACGTTGAATTTAGTGGAATAATTTAGGCCAGAAGGCTTGGGGCAACCTTTTTTTTTTTTGTGCACTGAAACACGACTCACAAACAGTGAGACTTCAAGCACACTTCTTCTGACTGCACTTCCAATCACCATCTTCAAGGATTTCTAATGAAATGGACTAAAAAAGTGTTGCAAGAAAATGTGACTGCATGATGGGACTGCATTTATCCATGTTTTTTTTATCTATATACAGATGTGTATCAAGATGTCAATGTTGGGTGATAACCATGTGATTCCTATTCCAACTATTTTTGTAGAAAAGAGAATAGGCACGTGCAAGTGTTGCATTAGTTTGTCCCGATTTAACTCAATCCATGCAGTGTCTTCGACTTGTCGTCTAGGACTTTTTGTCTGCAAGTGGCTTCCAGTTTTATAACATTTTTTTAATGTAAAGACAGTGTACAAAACAACAAAGCAAAAAATTTCTAAGAAACTTGTGCGCTGGAGTGGAGGTTCCCTGCGGCACATTTCACTATGGGAACACTTGTTTCTCTTGGACTTTTTTTGTTTGAATGTTTGTTTTATTTCCTCGATGTTAGCGTCTGTGGACAACCAGAGATGAGGACAGCCATGAATCACTCACCACACGGGGGACATCCTTGCTGGGAAATACCACAAGCAGTGTGCACCATCTCTATGAAAGCTTTAATTTGAGTGTAACGTCACAACATATCAATCATGGGCACCTTAGTGTTCCTTGAGCATGGTTCTGAGATTGCAATACAGTGTTCCTAAAATGACACCTCGATGCACTCATCTTTGATTTATCTCTCCGCACACATATACAGTATGTTGTAGCAACCCTTTCGCAATTTATTGTTTGAGATCGAAAGGAAATATTGAACAAAACTTTGCATACTTTATTGGAAACTTCTTTTTGCACTTGCCATTTAAACAATTACTCTTTCCCAATTAGAGATGCTCATCCTACAGCCTGATTTTTAAACTGTTGTATTTTATTTTATTGATCATTATGTTGGTTTTAAATTGTTTTTAGAAAGTACAAGGTGATGTGAGGCGGTCTGAGGGTTTGACCTCTTTTATCATGCAAAATTACTTTGATGACTATGTTTGTGGTGTTTAGTATTTATGAGTGAATGACTGAGTGTGTGTGCGTGYGTGTGTTTATAACTTCAGGTGATGTGATTGCCTATTCCTGAAGTGTCTTTGTTTGTCAGTGAGGATACCTGAGGTTTAAGGTCAAAGAAGAAAACCATGAAGCAACCAAGGGCTGTTTTAGCTTCAAAGAAATATTGTCCTATCTTTCTGAGACAAATCCTTGTGTCAATGAATATGGCATCAAAGGTTAAGCCTGACTTCACAGCAATAAATGTTCCATGTGTATGCCCTGAGTAAATGATGTCAATGTGATTTTTATCTCCTCAGAACACCACAGAATCTATTAATGTCTGTTTTTTTTCTTTTTAACCCATCTGTGTTTGTACTCGTTCGGATATAGCACCTCTGCCCTCTCAGAGACAAGTCGAAAAGAGATGGGCTCATGTTGGACGTCTTCAACAAATGAGGTTATTGAACTCAGGTTGGGGGGTAAAAACCACTAGTGCTCAGACAGAATGCAAAGCAGAGTTTTCCTGGCATTTTTTATTATTATTTTTTGATTTGTGTTTATACAGTTCTGTGTGMAGCCAGTGCACCAGTAACGAGCTGCAACACTGCACAAATCGTGTGCGAGCAAAGTGTGCCTTTGTACAGTATATTTATGCTACAGCTCAAACTCAATTTTAAAACTTAAAAGAAACACGAGTTGTTTCTTACTATTAGTCTGCCACTCAGGCATTTTTTTTAAATTGTTTTTGCATAACGATAAGATGCATTGCTTAGAAATGCTCCAACCCCCTCAGAACCTAATGCTGACACTTTAAATTTCTAGAAAATGAGAGTGTAAAAAGGCTAATGGCAGGTTTCGATTACATCAGTCCATTCCTGCAAAAGTTTAAAAAGCTTAAATGTATTTAAATAAACCTAATCGTCCATACACGCATACATTTTCTTCTTTCTATCTGTGGCTGGGTCACAGTAGCAACAGGTCTGGGAGGCATCTCTCTCTTCTGTTCCTCCTGAGAAATCCCAAGATGTTCCCAGGGCTAAGAGAATACATAATCCCACCAGCGAGTTCTGGGTCTGCCCCAGATACGCCTTCTAGTAGAATGTGCCTAAAAAAAACTCCCAGAAGGTACCCTAATCTGGGATTGAGGCATCTGTTAGAAGACCATGGATTGGTGTAAAATACAACCTCTCAACTCCACACTCCTTTCACACAAATCACCTTGTGATATTTAACATTTGTGAGCACAATTTTGCCACTTTTATGCTTCCCCAGTTGTTATTTTCTAGTTAAACCACCAAGAAAATTTGCATTTGCATTTTGTCTGAGCACACATTCAGAGTGTATAATTCCCTTTTGTACATATCTTTGTATTCTGCATGTGTGAATTGTTGCCAATGACCATAAATATACAATTAGTATGCATCCTAAAATGTACAAAGGTAAAGGGACTGCCTCAGTGTTTTTGAATGCTGCTATGAAACCACTAAAGTCAGTCTGAGACACAAACAATTGTTATTTTTTTTCTAGCACATGATTTTAAAACTATAAAACTGTGCTTTTCATCTAATATAAAAACCATCTAGTGTTTGTTTTATACCTCTTTTTATTAAAAAATGAACACAATAGGAGAAAATCAGTTGTCAGAAGAAAGAAACAGAAAGCTTGAGGCAGGACAGAGCAGGAAGTGTACAGAGATGACACGGACAGCAGAATAAAGCTAACAAACAGTGTGAGTGACTTCGCGGTGAGATGCTGCAGGAGGCAGCTTCTACAGACAGCCTGTCATCGACAGCATCGCCCAGTGGAGCTGTCAGTGTGCGAGAGCGTATTAGGCATGCAGACTGAACTCTGAGGTGTTGTTTACCTCACACCCTTGACCAACCGACCCTCCACCTCAGCTAACCTCTCGGAACCAGTTCTCCTCAAAGGTGGACGTATGTGAGCGGAAGGCTTGCATTCGTTATTCTGAMTGGGATGCATGCTGGTTTATGAATGTGTTGTTATCTACAACTGGACTGAACTTGTTAATTAATTAAAAAAAATTGGGGGGGGGGGGGGTCTCATTGCAGCTCCCTTTTGTGAGGGAAGAATAATCCTCTTCAAATACTGTTATATAAACTCCAAAGCTTTGATTATAACACCCTCCCCCCTACGGCAACGCATATTTCCACTGAGACATCTAGCTGACTGGAAGAATCTTTTCCTCCTCACTGGGAAATCCGTCTTGTTACAGTACAGCTCAGCTTTATCATGCATCTGAGTAGTAAGAAAAGTTTGTAAAGATGTAACCAAGAGATATCCGGCTGATAAAACTCACTACATATGATTGGAAATGAAAAACTGTCGCAAATGAATTAGTCAGAGATTGATTTATTTTTTCCAGGAGTGATGAAATACGTCAGAGGTTCCCTTTAAAAGTTGGAAGTGTTTTGTTTTTCATCAAATATCTGTTGAAGAAAACAGATGAAGAAATAGTCAGGAAAAATAAAGAGAAACAAACTTTTGTTGCCTTGGGAGTGTTGAATCCAAGTTCAGATCTGCCACTAATGTTGGTCCAGCCTATAGTTTAGATCTGGCAGGACAAAGAATCCTGATCAGATCAAACAAGATGTTTCTGTAAAATCCTAAATACATTTAGTCACCTGAGCTATAGCATTATTCAAAGATCAACAAAACTCAGATTCACCCAAGTTAATTATGCAACTTTTGAAAGACCTAATTATTGCTCGCCATGAAAGGTGGGACTTTTGTCTTCATGTTTAAAAAGATCTTATCAACCACTGGGCTAAATTTTGTATTAAAAAGTAATGTTGATGCTACAAAATTTGGTTTCAATTTGATACCTTGAAGGAAATCTTTGTTTAGTTTGAACAAAAAAATGTAAATGAAGATTTGTTTTAGCCAAACAATCAATTTAAGAGAATAATTCACAATTTGTCAACATTTCTCACCATCTCAGCTTTCCTATAAGACAGGTTTTGTTCAGATTTATCAGGCCGAAGAAACACAAACCTGAAGGATCAGTGAAGCTCTACTGGGAAATGATACGAAAAGCTTTTGTTTTCCCTCCGAACAACGAAGAGAAATGAAAGCCATTCTGTGCCTTATGCAGTTATATGGTATTTTAAAACTGAAAATGTGGGTCTTGGTTTTAGTTTTTTTTTTTATGTCGCATTTCTTTGATTTATTCATTCAATTATATTAGCCTGAGAATAAAAAATAAATAAGAAACTTAATGCTCACACCGTGCTTGAGTTGCACACATACATCAAGTGTATGTGTGGAAACCAGCTCCTGTCAGCTGTCAAGGCTAAGTGCCCAGAGAGATGTCCGGACCCATCGATTGCATCTCAGGCTCAAGGGAGGGAGCCAGATAAGGCAGGTTGTGAGGGTTGCACAACAAAAGGGTGAATAAAATGCCAATAAATATAGCTCACTTAAGAGATTATTTCATTGTTTTTTTCTAAGAACGATGAATTAAGTAGCTAAAATAACGTCACCTCAATATGCTTTAAATTCAGGGAGGCAGTTTTTTGGCCTTTATAAACTTTAACAGAATTTGAATTAGTTCTTTGGTAAGTTTATTTTTACAGACATATACTGTTAATTCTACGTAACTCTCCAAGGTAAGATGTCTGTTGGCACTAATGGCTAAAACTTGTCTCTTCACAGCCTGTGTTTTCCCCTCCTCACCCTTTTCTTTTTTTTTCCTTCCTGAAACTGAGGATCGATATCTGGGAAAGAGAAGCAGCGATGACTGAAACGGTGGGATTGGAAAGGGGAGAGCTGACGCTGCAACTTTCAGCTGCACGCTTTCAACACAATGGTTGATTGACTGGTCCTTTAAAAACTTGGCCTGTTCCTCGGTGGGATAACAGTGAAATAGAGTACAGTAACAATACTRAGAAATGCTTTAATGCTTTAAAAGATTTAGTTGAGGCAAAAAAAAAACTGTGGTTCGGTTACAGTGCAGGGATGTTAGTAAGAGCTATATCTGGAATTCAACTTGTCTCTGCGTAGGGAGGGTTGCCTTGAAAAAGTATTCATAACCCTTGAAGATTTTCAGTTGTTTGAACATTAGTGATCAAACAGAATTATTAAGACCATGGAACACAGTCAGGTCAGGGATAAAGTTGTTGAGAAATGAACATCTCACAGAGTTTGGAAAATCACTGTCTGCAGACATTCTTCTAATCTGACTAAGCTTGACCTTTTTTTTATTAAAAAAAAACTAGTTAAAAATAAGTCTCTAGATGTGCAAAGCTGGTAACATACAACAAAAGACTTGCATCAACTCAGGGTCAATGAATTTAAACCCACAGCATACTTCTTGTATAATTTTTTGAAAACCATGCACTTATTTCCTTCTGAAGCTTGTGGTGACAGAAAAGTTTACGAAATATGAATACTTGTTTAAGGCACCGTAACTCTTCCCAGAGTCAGGGATCTTAGCCAGTAACATTGCATCTACAGCATACAAGCAGGAGCACAGCATTTGTTTTATAATGCATTATGAGATGAAAACTACATTTCCGGTACTGTGTTGCTGGAAACTGAGTTATGCAAATTTGCGAAAACTGTAATAAAATGTTTGCTCTGCAAAACAAAACACATCTATTTATCCTTCAAATCAAGAAGTATTTACAGAAATTAAAGCAACAGTTTTCGTTAGCAGTCTATTACTTGATTCTTTGTTGTATCTTTTATTATGGCAGCTTTGGTGGTAGACTTTAAAGTAGTTACAGGAAAGTTTTTAATAGTCGGGCAACGCACCATTAAAGAGATGCAATTTGCTGCTTTGTCAGTGCTTATCTCATCATTTATGATACTGTAAACCATTTTAAAATATTTCATTCAGGATACATGTGGGTTAAAGAAAAGTCACTAATTCAAGACTTTTGAAAATGCCAGTGGTGCTGAGGACATTTAATATTGAAGTGTTTGAGCTTGATTRCTGCTGCATGTTAAAAAAGATTACCTCTTACAGATGGGTCCTAATGTTAAGGGCTGCTGGCTGGATCCTCTCGTGCACGCTGCTCTGCGAGCTTAATGAGAGTGATAAATAAGAGTGAGAACATCTGCGTGAAGTCAGGCTCCCTGGGATTTGCATAAAGTGCAACACAAGGTTGCAGCGAAGGACAAACTGTGAAGAGACTCATGAATTTCAGACACTAAGTGTGCCTGGGTATACAGCATGTCGTCTTGTGTCATGTCATGCATTACAGAAATTAGAACTGAACAAAATGTCCACCGATATTTCTGAAGCTTTTTTATTCTGTTTTATCAAGAAAAAAACTGGCAATTTATGAAAAACCTTAGTTCCTCACCTCTCATTGAAAAGCAAGATGCCTTTGATTTTGTGAAGTCATGTTTTTATTCCAGTGGAAGTGGTCCTTTCCAAGTAGATGAAATCCTCCTGGAGCAGGCTGTTAGCTTGACTCCTTCAAATTTCTCCCTGATTCTCCGAACTGTGATATTTGTCTGCTGTGTACTACAGGTAAGATACTGGCTGTTTGTCACATTTTTTAATACGAATCTATTGGGCCTGTGTTTTGTACAAGCCAGTTACAAAACCAACATAGTGTGAAAATCATATATTTTGCGACAGGAACAAAGTCTAACACGTGTCAAACTCAAATGTGGCCCACAACAGCATTTTATGTGGCCAGTGAGAGCTTCAAAGATGTATTGTCKTTAAATAAGCAAATACTATTTTAAAGCCAGCCTTGAACTCCATTGCCCACATTGCATGTTGATTAAAAAAACAGCATCTCACTACTAGGTTCACAGGGTTCAAAAGAAGCTGGCAAAATTTGACATGTAAAATCCAAGTTTCACTGCATTTTCACCGTCTTCTTTTGCTGCCCAGTTGTACTGGGAATTGGGGATTTCCTACGAAGACAATTTTAATACAATTTCCCCTGCTGGAAATTGGGAGAGTTCAGAATTCAAGATGGCGGCTGCTCAGTAACTTTTAGTCACTCAACAGTGAGTAAAACTCTCTTTCTTTTACTAGTATGTCTGTATTGTTTATTTCACTTTCAGTCAGTCGTACATATAGTACTTTTTAGTKTTTATAAGAGGATGTGTTAAAACTATTCTAGGCAGGAAACAGAGCTCAGTWATTGTTTGTAAGTGGATCTCAGTTGTAGCAATAAGACAAGGAATGGGACATTTGAGTCAAAGTTAAACACAAAACAATGAAGTTATTTACATCTGGCTCTTTGAGGGCCACCCTTATGCTTATGGCCTCTATGAAAATGAGTTTGACACCCCTGATCTAACAAGATGCACATTATTCGTAAATAAACATAATTATGCTAGTTTGCTTTGAATGGTATTTATTATTTTTTGTAAAATTAGTAATAATTGTACCTTTTGGAGTTTTGATGGTAATGTGACAATAATTTTGTTGAGGAAGTAGTTGCAAGGTCAAATATGTTGCGACAAAGTCGGGTGAAACTCTGGCGCTCACAACACACCATACTAACAGGTTGTAAAGATGCTTTTAAATATTTGCAGCTTTTCTGCATCTTTGCCCCCAAAACCACAGCAGATGATTCCTCGTGTTCTGCCTCCGTGTACAGCTCA